GTATATTAGTTCTTTTTAATTATTCTTTTAGAACGTTTTTACATACTAACGTAAAATTCCGATTTTTATACATTTCGTATCTCTTTCAGACAATATCAAATCAATAAACGCTTAGATATTTTTATTAATATTGCCAAATTTTTATGTTTTTAAGTTTTTAACTATACTTAAATTAAATAACAGCTGATGTCATTGCTTAAGGTAACTTCTACTGAACTGAATGTGGAAATTCTATTTAGAAAGTCATATCGGGATATGTGTTTATGGATGAAATTTAAATTTAAATGCAGCTGGTCTATTGAATTGCATTGTGTTCGACATTATGCCAAATGCTTATACGTTTTTGCATGAGCATTTTATATCAAAAAGGGAAATTTTATTCTCTTTTGTAACCATAAAATTTTTCTGCCCGTTGTCACTGTTAAATAATTCTTTGGCCGTTTTTACATTTGTGCTAATTAAAATCAATAGTAATAAATGACTTTAATAGAACATTGTGTCGGGAACAGCATTTTCTCTTCTTCCCATCAAATGTTCTATACGAATAAAACGTTCCTTAAAAGATAGAAAAGAAAAGACGAACTCGATTGAAAATGCATGCTTTTTCGTTATATTGCCACGTACGAGCTATGGATTCTCATCGGGCAGGTTCAAGATCGCTTGAGATCGGACGACTTTCCAAAGCGGAACGTAAGTGTCGTACGGCTGTTCGTAAACTCGTTTATAATCCGATGATATGTTTATATGAAACGCTGACACTGTTGACTGAGAATGATTGATTTTATTAAAGTATTTGCAAACGATCTTTTTTTATTTAAAATGATAGTAATAATAATAATACTGTATATATCTAATAAAATTATATGTTTCTTTCTTCATAAATCGTTTTTTTTTCTTTTTTTTCCTTCTCTGTCTTTCTTTTCTTAAAGATTATATATGATCTAAAATAAAAAATCCTCTTACTTTTTAAATAATTATTGTTTCTTTGAAAAATATTTTGTTTAATTTTGTTTATATATGACCATCTACAATATCGTTTATATGTTTAAATAAATTGCGAATGCTACAAATGCTAGTGGAATAAAAGATAAACGTAATGTCTTTACCGCATTGTTTGAAATTGCATTCTTTGTTTTCCTCGTGCTCGTATCGTTTTTCCGGCAACGACAAACGTCACATGCATGGTCCGCGCGATTTCGCAGCATTAATTAGAAGATACGGCAGATTGCGTTTGGTGAGCAGAGGCTTACGGCATGAACGGTGACGCAATCGGCCAATTCCGCTCGTGGCAAAAACGTTCAATTAAATGGTTCGTAAATCACTATTGTCACATGTAGGTGCAGATCGACGATAAAATTTGCAATTTCTAGCATGTCACTAGTGCGAGGCAAAACTTGTGCAAGCATATTTGGCGTGAAAGCGCGGGTAAGAGAGGATTGACTGTGTTTTTGCTATGCTCTGTCCGAGATGCGCTCGTTAGAAAATGTCAAGCTATGTAGTATTGTTAATTCGTTTTTCCTGTACTGCATTAATACGAATATTCGAACGATTGTGATAAATACAAAACATGAGATTATATGGCATTATAGAATTATCGCAAAATCATTACATTTATGCCGATATTGTATAACTGATATTGTATAACTGATATTGAATAATTGAAATTTATGCAATTTTAGCTGCGTTATCTCGACGTTACAATACATCTATTTATTCTCTTTAACTTTTACAAAAAAATATAATTATCAATTATTATGTACCTTATTGTATATATAATATACGGAACGATAAATATTTTTTATAATTGGTTATTTAATTCAATACATGATTTTGCCTGTAATTGTAGCATTATTTTGCTTCTAAACTTTTTCCTTGTAAATGATATAGTGGATTAAATTCTGATTGACCAAATTAATCCTCGATAATTTATATGGACTTTTTGTCGCCGATTTGGCCACCAATTGATTCGATTCGAATGTCGATATCGTAAAACTAAATTACATTTTCCGATTGCAAATATCGGAATACGTTAAATCAAACAAAAACGCATTAATGTTCGTTAAATACTAATAGTATAATGGCACAAGACACGATTTAAACATTAACGTTTTATGTAATATATATGTATGTATATATGTATATAGTTCATTACAAATTATAGTAATGAAACGCACTATATATTTTAAAAATATCAAATATTTTCTACAGAACTAATAATTAATGTGCTATAAGAAATCTACACAACAAGATTCTTTTCTTAAAAATAATTATATTTAAATATAGTATCCATAATTAATAAAATTTTGTTTTATTTAAACGAGGAATATATAATTACACTATATAATTTTTATTATATACACGCAGACATTACTTTTTAATCTATATACAAGTTAGAAACAGGAATTTCATAAATGCAATACATCAATTCGCTTAGTATCACGTGATAATGTTAATATATATTGCACAAAAAGCCTTTCATGATGCTTTATGGTCGTGTGTGATGACGCTCGTGTAATACCTTTCTCAATTATTTTTTGCGTCGACTTTGTCCCTTGAAAGCTACATTTACCTGCAAAAACAGATAATAAATTGCTTTAAGCATCTAAGTAAATACTGGTTTTAAAACTAAAATCATGTAAAGCTTAAGACTGTAGATCTATAGTAAATTAACGCATTTTTGATGTAAAAGAAAATTTGCAATTAACTGAATTTAATATACATACAATATAAATATAAATATATATGTATAAAAAATTAATTTACAAGATATAGTTACACAAAGAATAGAGAAAGATTTGATTCAAATCAGAATTCAAAAATTAAGATATTATAGTACAAATGCGTAGCAACATACAGCGGTAAAAAAATGGAAAAAATGATGCTTTTGAGCCATACATATACAAAGAGCAATAATATTAGAAACCTACGACCTTATTTCGTCTCGCAGCCGTATATTTTGTAACAATTCAAACGAACAGCAGATTACATGCAATTTCAATTCGCTTGAAAGCCTTCATAGTAAACTACCGTGTTGATTGCCAGTTCGATTGCGCACAAAATCCGCAAAACACCTGCCTATAGAAGATATTTACACGTTACAAAATGTATTTTTGTGTAATTAACAACTATTTATCTGTAAGTAATTATAATCTCTACTAATGTCTTCTATATAAAAAAAAAGAAGTACCAACTTAAGCGAGTCGGTCGATCATGATTGATCACTCTGGAGGAACGTAAATCATTTGAAACTTAAAACTGTTGATTGCTTGCTATTTAAATTCTACTATCTACTGCTTCTTTGATGTATCATAGCTTTTAATGCGAATCTTTCAGGTTTCTCTGAAGTGCGCAAGTGAAAACATGGAAAAAAAACTTGTGACTACTCCGTATGGATGTATCAAGAGGGATGCTGCTCACTTTTACGATTTAAAGCAAACATTTCAAGAGATGACCATAATATTTTTGATAGCGCACTCTTAACTCAGTCGACCTTCGATAAACGGTAATGTTTTAGTATTCCCGAGCGCAGCAGCCCTCATGAGCGCGTGAAATACGATCGTCTTAAAAACGGAGTTTTGCGCACCCTCCGAGTTTTAAAGAGGCAACATAGTAAGAAAGCAATAAAAATTATACCGACTTAGTCGCCGGGTTTGCATGCGAACGCAAATTACAAACTGGTATCTTTTAAATAAAATTAATGAGATTCATTAAAAAAAGTTTGATATTTCGTTTCATGTTCTGTAATACTTCTAACACAATATTCTAAAAAGGGCAGTAGGGAAAAAGCTTCTTCGGGTTCTTTTAATTGGGAATCTTTATTGTATTTATCAGCTTTGTTTTTATTTTACAGTTTGTTTTACATTATTTTTTAAAACAATGAAGAAAATTGTTCTTCTTTATTTTTTTGAAAATATATTTGACAAGATATATGGCGTATTTCAAATATGTATGTTATCTTTTTGCTATTTATATTATAATAATGTTTAATTATATCTTCTATGAAATTCTAAACTAATTAAAAATTAAACTAAAATTCTAAAACATTATATTAAATTCAGTAACATACTTGTCTTTAAAATTGTGTTATTTCGCAATAATAATTATTTAAATAACAGTTATTTAGATAATCAATTCTTGATTAGTGTAATGTGACAAAAGCAAACACATGTTTTATAGAGCAGTGATAATGACAGAGAAAGCAGAAATTCATCTTGTTTTTCTAATTCGGAGAGGGTAATGTGTGAATGTGAGTGTGTGTATATATACGTGTATGTGATGGAGAAGAGGAGGGGATTATTGCCTTGCGGGTTTTCCGAAAGAAAGGATTAATCCACAACTATATAGCTGGAAGTAAACTTTGCACAAGCATTGAAATGTAGAAAGCTTTCTTGCACGATACCACTTAAAAAAAAGGATATAAACTTGATCTCTTTCTTTTGTCTGCTTCTCATTTTCCATTTCTGAAGTCTCGCAAACTACATCTCATTTCTTTCGTCTCACCCGATTTGTCTTCAGGTGAAAGCCGAAAGAGAGATAGCGGGAAACGAGTTCCTTTCAGATTACATTCTTCTGTAATTCATTCATCTATGCGTAAAGGCCAAGCTCTTCAATTGACCACCTCAATTGCAAGTAATTTTTCTGGAAGGACCTCTAGATAAATTCTGCTCCTTTTTGCAAGTGCACTTAAAACAACGTAGCGAACATAGTTTCCTTTTCAGTGAACTTTTGCTTTTCTTTCTAACGCATTTGTATAGTATAGAGAACAGATTTCTCAACTATTTTAGATTCTTATATTATTGAGAGAATTCAAAATTATGTATTTTAATAAGAAATAAAAAAAAGATATATATATATATATACAGAATATAAAATTTAACATATTTTTTGTTAACTATAATATATTTAATTAGAAAATTATTTAATACATTAAAACAACTTTTGTGGAAAAGTTATAATAATTTAAAACTCATCTACAATATGTGTCACATTGAAAGAGAAAGATGTCGAGTACGTGTTTTACCAGACCAGTCTCATGGCAATGGAAGGGCGAAAAACTGGAAAAAAAGATCTCATCAATCCTATATAAGACTGTTGATCTCCATCACATACACTTGCTACAGTTACTACAATCGATCTTTAACTATTAAAATTCGCGACAATTAATATATCTTTTGATTTCATAAAATAAATAATTGAGAAAGAAAAAAGTTTATAATAAAACAGAATATATATATTAAAAAAACGATTATTTATAATGTGCCATACGCGAGTCTTGGTGAGCCTCTCATAAATATCGCCTACGTGATCGTGATATTTCTAAACATGAGTGTGTTCTTTCTTCAGATTATCTTCGCTATCATGGTCGCGATGATGGTAGCTACTGGGGCATACAAAAACGAGAGAGATATTTCTTTTTTCAATGCGGACATTATGTCTCATCGCAAACCTCGTTTGCGAAATTTCTTTTTTGATCAATCATTTATCGACAAGATGATCAAGCAGCAAAATTCGCCTATTAGAGCAGTAAGAGATCAAACTATCAACCAGCAAGCTTTTCATCTGCCCTTGAAAGATCACATTACACATCTGCCTGAGTTTCCAATTCTTTATCATCAACCGTTTAAACAGAATTCCTTTACGGTAACGTCGTTCAAAGATAAACCGTTGTTCAGAGACGCAATATTAAAAAATCAAGAACTACGAGGAGAACGAGAGATCCTCAGAGACAACTCTTTCATCGGACAATCGCTTACATCAGAGGAGATCTTTGAGAGACAAGCACCAATATATAAAAGCCAAATACCGTTTAAAGAGCAATTGTTTAGGACTGAGAAGCCATTGAAAAATTTACATTATGGACAATTATCCTCAAGTGAACAAATATCGCCTCAGAAGCAACCAATTTTCGTCAAATTTCCTTCCATTTCCGATTCGATCAAGTTCGATCAAGATAAATCTTACAATAAACTGATCGATTTGTATGGACGACATAAGGATATGCAAACTTTGTCGAATAAAGCAGGATTTTCAACGTACACTAAATACGGTAAATTTATGTATATTATATACACATATACATACACAATTTCAATATTAGAATTTTTTAAATAACAATAGATCAGCAATTTTAATAACGGGCATACAGTTCAATTTTCTCTTTTCTAAATTTTTAAATTATTTTGTGTAAATTGTTTTACACACGAAAAATTTGATATTGATTTTTTTATTAACAATAACAATAAAACATCAAACAATTTGTTAATATTGTGATTGTTAATTATAGCATTAAACAAGCTTATACCCTCGGTATTTTAAACTGATTGTATCACATCAATTATTTTTTACAATAAATGTTAGCTTTCACAATTTAGTTATATTGCGCGTCTACTAATATGATATCTACTTAATACGTATATATATAACACATATATATGTTCGCCCGAGTTTAAAAATACGCAATTACACTCCTCTCTAGAAATCAAATTTGTTTTCTATGATATCAATGTTCATGTTTTACTAATATATTAAAAATTCTGTTTTTATAACGCATTATTTATTCAATCACGAGAGATGCTGATAATAATATATCATGCTACAGATGATCACGCATTTGAATTATCTTCAATGCCAACGCTTTCATCTTCCAAATATATCTCTCCATTAAATATCGAAATGTCTCCGATATCACCATCAGCGTTTATTCATGGATCTGACTTGCCTATGTCTTCTATTCCTTCAAGTATTGGCGAAATTTATTCGTCAGAAGCTGTCAAGATGAAACTCCGTTCAGCGTTGATGCCGGAATCGACTACATCATTGCCAGGCAACAACTGTAATGCGGTAAGTAAAGTCTATGACAGCTGATATTTTGGTTATATAATTAAAATTTAATCTCGCCTATATTGAATTTAATTTCCAGCAGAAAACAAAACGTATTTTGTGGCAATTTTAACATATGTAATTTTACCAATAATTATTATCGTAATAAATGAAAACCGTCACAAACTTGTCAGCTCTTTATCAAGTTTTTTCCGCTACATACATTTATTTACATTAATATAAAATAAATGAAATTTTTAGATAAAATTTTACGTTACATTATAAAATTTCATAATTTATATTTACATTTATTATTAATTAATTTACATTTATGTTAATTGTGTTAAAATGTTAATATATGTTATAATAATGTTTTGATATAATATAATAATTGCATGTAAATTTACATCATATTGTAATTTGTTAGCGCAATTTTGTGCATAATTTTGCATTTTGTTTATTATAAAATCCGATGTTAACAATATTCTTATTTATTATTGATTATTTATTACATAAAACTTGAAGAGTTTTTTTACTTATAATTTTATATTAATAAAATTATATAATCTGTTACTATAATATACAATTGAATATTAAAAAACACACCCCATAGAATGCACAAAATAGAAAAAGGTGAATTTATCGAAAAAATATATTTGGCGTCCATTAATAACGGATCGATTAATAAAAGTTTATTATTGCTTTTAGCCAATCGACAGCTCTTCAACAACCATTCCATCAATCTCAGTTAGCACAAACCAATCCTCGATTGTAGGTCATATCTTAACGAGTTTAACAACGAAGACCAGTTCGCCTGTCATGGATACAGCAACATCAATAGCACCGATTGTCGGAAAGTATGTACTATATATATATAGTTGCTTTATTACTTGTATGTTTGATTAATACAACAATGCAACTAACTACACAGTGTAAACTCGTAGTTATTAAATTTTATAACAAAAATGCCATTCAAATAACGTTGAATTTATATTCGATTGTATTATTGCAAAATTTGTATGAAAATGATATATATTAATTGATATTGATTAGCATTAATTTATAATTAATATAATTGATATTGCATTAAGTAAAATATTTTAAGCATATAGATATTTAATATAATTAATTTTATTATTGTTATAATTTTTAGCTACATATATAAAAATTTGTAATTTTAAAATAATAGTAAGAAAATTCTTGAACTTCTAATCATGGAATATTTTTCAAATTTAATATACTTGTTATTTTTTATTAGCTTTTATTTCTCAGTAATAATTTCTACGATTATAAAATTTCTGTAATTGTAAAAAGAAAAAAAGCATATCAGCATACTAATATTTATACACATATATTGTTAGTACTGTAAATAATTTACAAAATAATATTCTAATTACTCGGTACATCTAAATCTGATTTGTTTCATTTAGCACCCTCGGACCAATTCAGTTTCACGCTACTAAACATGGAGCTGTTGTGACATCTTCTCTTCCCACCCAGAATGAGTTAAAGAGCAATATACATGTTCACTTGTTCATGAACATGCCAAAGAATAGTTTCAAGGCCAATGAGCACGATCTTAAATTCCTGTTTCCGGAAACGCTGAAGGACGACATTAAAACTAGCACCCAAAATTCTATGTTAAATTACATCTCTGAAGAGCATAAGAGCGGGTTGAAGGGTATTCAGAACTCCTTCACAGACTATGCGTTGCCCGAGGGATTTAAATACGGATGGCCTTTACAATTCTCACAAGCAGAAACGTCATTCGCTCCACTATCCCTGAACGGAAAGACAAACTTTGTTCAATCAAACATATCTGCCATACCCATTTCGATTAATTCTTGGCCAATGGAGACCAACGGCGACTTTAGCACAATGTTACCACTGAAGTCCATAATAGCGACTAACACGACGACAAATAACCATTTGCCATTAAGTATGATTGTCATTATGATATCTCATTAGGTGATGACAAAGACTCATTGATGTACAAGTAAATTCAATTTTTTGCAAATTTTTTTTTCTTGTTGAACTCGTGTTAATTATTATTGTAATATTTTTGCATTCCAATAATTTTTATGAATTTATTATAATATATAATAAAACAACATGATTATTTATTAAATCCCTATATATTCATATTTTGTTTGTAACGTCAACAATTACGGCTCTATATTTTATTGCAGGCATGAGTTTACCTTCGGATTTTATGGCAAGCATACCAAGTCCAAGTATATCCAATAGTATATCTGGAAGCATAACTGGTGGCATATCAACAGGCATACCTAGCGGCATGATGGCGGACATGCCTGCGAGCATACCAACTTTGAATCTCGGGCAAAGTTTACACCGTGTGGAACAATTACGACAAACTCAAGAAGCAAGAAATCCCTGGTACCCCACAGGTATCTTAGCTATACGCTAAGTAAGTCTTATATTTCTCTTTGATTCTGAACGTGGTGCTGTAACATAGTATTTTTAATGCAACATAAGTTTCTCCGAAGATACGTACATTCGGCGAGAGTGCTTCAGAATTTAATAAAATAACGGAATATAATTTAGCTCGTATATTTTAATTTTGGCAAGGATTTATCTGTAAAATTTTTTAAATCTCTTTATGAAATTTATAACATTTAAATTGAAAATTTTGCATATCAGTTCAGACTAAAATTAAACTTTATACGATACTTGCAAAATTTTGTAAGACTTATAATTAAATTTTACACACACACACGCACATACGTACAATACAGAGGATCATTATTTTTTTTATCAAATTTTGTAAAAAACATTAAATTCTTTAATTAATAAAAATTTAAAAATCAGATCAATACTTATAGACAACTTAGCACCAAAAAACTACCTAGCAAAGTATAAATATTTAAATAGTATTGCACACACTCTTGCAGTTGTTATGAAAAATGTATGTTTTTCAAGAATAAAAATTTTTCAGTTGCGCAAGAACGCAAATAAAATGTTCCGTGTACTTTTCGTTCAGATACAATGTTGCTCGTAAATCCTTCAAAAATTTACCGTATAATACGACTGTTGTCATTCTGCATGCGGAGTACCAGGTGCTGATTCCCCTTCTTGCAAAGCTATAAGATAGAAAGAACGAAGGTAGGAGACAAGTGAAGTGTCTCATCTGTAGTCGCGCTTCAGTTTCTTATTTTACATTAATTATACTAAAGAAATTTCTATCTCGATCGGAAAGAGAGAAAGATGCATGTAACGCAGACCGTTGTTTATTTTGTAGCAGCAGTAATAATTTTTGCATTTAATAAATATGATTAATTGTGACAGATTATGTGTGTATATATGTATATATATATATATATTTTTGTCATGATTAATTATATTTACTGAATGCAAAAATAATTACTGCCACTGCATACGTACAATACAGAAGACATCATTATTTTTTTTATCAAATTTTGTAAAAAACATTAAATTCTTTAATTAATAAAAATTTAAAAATCAGATCAATACTTAAAATTTTCAGGAATAGATTTCTGATTTATTTTAAGTTTATAATAAACTTTGAGAAAAATCTGAAAAAAATCTGAAAAGAAAAATCTGGATCTAGAATTATATTAAATAATATTTACATGCATTTTTCTCTTTTCCTCGCAGCCTTCAATATAAATCCTTCTAACAATCGATCTGCTGATTAGTTAGCAAGATCGTTTAAAGATCCGTTTGTTCAACAACTCTTTCGCATAGTCGACAGACGCAATTAATGTACTTTGCAGGTTTGCAGCTGCAACTAGACGGCTTTGGCGGGATAAATTACACGTTACATACGGGTAATCCGGCCACAAGGCCGATGGAGCTTGGAATCACGAAAGCAGACTTAACTCCGCCAAAATTACTACAACCACACGCTCCCGCATTTACAAAAGTGAGTTCTCAAAGCATGATTGCGAGTTTCACGATACGATACTCATATCGTTCGAGAATCTTTTTAATAACGATATCTAATATTAATTTGATTGCGTTTTTAATATTTTTATGTCTGTTAGTTAAAAGCATTTACTTTTTGTTGCTTTTCTTTTTCCTTATCTTACAATTAGCCTATGTTTTTAAAACATCTTTGTATATATCACTTTTTTATTATTTTACTATTTTGTTCCGCTTTATTAGATATTTCATTTTGCACATCTCTGACGGCATATTGACTTACATTTCCATATGCAAATATATTAAGGAAACTACAGTTTGAATAAACATATTTTCAAAGTTATTCGAGGTAAAGTAGCTGCACCATTCGAATTGCGTGCGAAAGGCGAGTATTAAAAGAACGAAATTATCATATTGCTTCTCAGAGTTTGTTATTAAGTTTAGTGTATTCATATTTTCGCACTTTGCTCTATGCAGCTCGCTAAATTTATTATTCCTTTTAATCTTTCGACTAAATTAATTCAAATTTATTTATATAAAACATTTATATTACGATTGATGTCTAAAATTATATATACGAATAAAAAGAAACTCTGTAATTTAAACATATAAAATTTTGATAGAATCATACATTACATTTAATAACAGAACAAAATAAATATTATAAAAAGATTAAAATATTTCTAGTTTTTCTAATTACAATAAAAAAATACATTGATCATATAAGCATGTAACTAAAAAATCGATTAATTAGATGTTTATCATTACGCATATCTTAAAGTGGAAATCTCAATATTCTATTTTATATATAGTAGATTTCTAATTACCATTTCGAAGTACATCTATTCGCTTCAACAAATGCTATCGAACGTTGGAAGTTCGTTGGCAGAAGCTTATGAATGTGGAACGCGTATTCACGAGATATTAATTAGTAAACTAATTTTGTTAATCATACACGTGCCTGACAATTCTGTTAGTTCATCCGCATACGTAAACTCCGGCTGTTTGGTCAAATGGCAAAATCAATTTATTGCAATGTTAAATTAGAACGAGCCAAATCTTGCATAAATTCTCTGTCAAATATTGAATAATATAAAAAATAAATTAATATAAAAATGAATTGTTTAATACAAAAAGTTAATTTTTTTTTATATTTTTAAATATTCAATTATTGTTGCTGTGTTAAATGTATACGAAATAAATAAAAAAATCGCGTTATAATATGAAATATCATAAAGAATTTATTATTAAATATTTTAATTGTTCACAGAGAAATTGCCATAAAAATAAAAAATATCGCGCGATGTATAATGCAATAATTATGAAAATTTATAGTTCATAATAAAACAGAAATATTAAATTTTATATATATA